ACTAAGTCGATGGAAAGGTAGAAATTGAACCCAGAAATATAGGTTCAATCTCAACTGATCGAAAGCCACCATTTTTATGGCAGCTTGCTATTTTGAACTGGTCACATGCATCTACCGGGCAGAAAAGTAATAAAAAATATTTTATTTTTTGAACTCCATTGAGGAGGACCCAACCCAATAATAGGTTCAATCCTAATATTTTGAACTGGTCACATGCATCTACTAGTGGCCAAACCAATGAAAAAATATAATAAAAACCTCAAACACCAGCTGAGTTGAGATAAGCAAATTGAAATATTCTTTGAACTTCATTGAGGAGGGACAAATTATTATTCTCTCCTTCCCGACTCGTTTAAAGGACTCCATCAAGCCTGTTTGTCTTTCGCAGAACTCAAGTTTTTCTCTTAGTAAAGTTTAGTCATTATATTGACCTATTCTTATCAATATGGATCTTCTCGATAACAAAAGACTCATCTCTACATCATTCCAAATCTATTAGTATTTGACCTCAATGTGTTTCAAATGAAAATGAAAAGTAATATGCTTACTAAGATGGATTGCACTCTAATTATCGCAATACAATACAAAGTTCTCTTGTTTTAATCCAAATTCCTATAAAAACTTTTTTATTCATAGTAATTCTTTGTCCTCTTTAGCAAGAGCAATGTATTTGGCTTTTCTAATAGATAGAGCAACACATTTCTGCAACTTTAGCCGCCAAAAAACTACTCCCTCTATAAAATCATCAAGTATCCCGATGTGGACTTTCAAGAATCAACATCACCAATAATATTTGTATATGTGTACCCATCTAACATAGGTTTGCCATTACCAAAGCACAAACTATAACTAGAAGTGCCTTTGAGATACCTAGGCAACTATTTCGCTGCTAACCAATGTTCTCTACCAATATTTGAGAGAAACCGACTCACTACATCGGTTGCATGAGTTATATATAACCTTGTACAAACCATAGCTTATATCAAGCTACCAATTATAGATGCATAAGGAATCTTTTTCATCTCTTTTTTTTTTCATCACTTAAAGGACAATGTTTAGAACTTAACTTAAAGTGGGTTGCAAATGGAGAACAAATAAGTTTACACTTACCAATATTGAATCTTTTAAGTATCATTTGAACATATCTCTCTTCAAATAGCCAATATTTCTCATTCTTTCTATCCCGATTAATTTTTATGCCAAGAATCTGTTTTGCTAGTCGTAAATCTTTCATCCTAAAAGACTTGCTGAACTCTCTCTCTCTCAAACTCCGAATCTTCTTAGCATTATGACCAATAATCAATACATCATCCATATATAGCAAAATAATAATAAAATCACCATCATCAATTTTCTTTTTTTATACATACACAATGATAAAAAAATGGTTTTACCATAACCATGCTCCATCATGGAAGAATCAAACTTTTTATACCATTGTCTTAGAGATTGTTTCAATTCATATAGACTCTTTTTCAGCTTGCAAACTAGTTGTTCTTTGCCTTTTGCTTCAAAACCTTTAGGTTATTTCGTGTAGATCTCCTTATCTAATCACCATAGAAGAAGATAGTTTCATATCAAATTGTTCAACTTTAAGATTTAAACTAGTAGCTAAACGAAACATAACTTGGATTGAAGAAATCTTGATCACAACTGAAAAGATTTCTTTAAAATCAATACCGTTCTTCTAACCGAAACCCTTCAATCAATCCCGCCTTGTACCTTAGCCGTGAGCAATTTTCATCGGTTTTCAATCTAAACACCCATTTATTCTTGAGTGCTCCCTTTCCCTTTGGAAGCTTTACTAACTAAAAAGTGTGATTCTCGAGCAAGAATTTCATCTCATCTTACATGACTTTTTAACCGAGTCATTTTTATTCTCATGTGACATAGCTTTATCAAATCATTCCGACTCTCCCTCATATGCAACCAACACAAACTCATAAGGAAGATATTTGGTGGAAGCTTAGTGAGGTCTAGTGGACCTCCTTAACTAGCTCATCTAGTGTTTCTTGAACAACTTGTTCGGGAATAATGAAATCATCATCATTAGTCGGCTCAGAATCACCAACTAATGGCTCAACAGTGCAAACCACCACTATCATTATTCTCTAAATCTCCCCAAGATTAAAAGGTATCAAAGGTAACTATGGAGTAGGTCTTAAATCTGAACTAGCAAGAATAAAACTAGAAGACTTGGAAGACTCAACTTTCTTTTTTTATTCAAATCTTCACTAGTTTGATCTTCAAATAAGATAACATCTCTTATTCTAATTTTTTTCTTTTCTTTTAGGTCCTATAACTTGTAGCCAAACTCATCATCTCTATAATCTAGGAAATACATTGCTTTGTCTTAATGTCAATCTTAGACCTTTCTTTTCTAGGAATATGTACAAATGCCTTGCAACCAAACACTCTCAAGTGTGTGTGATGAGCATATTTCCCTTTCTATACTCTTCTTGTCACATCAAAGTCAAGAGGAACTAATGGAGAAATATTGATCATGATAACTACAATAGTCATTGCCTCACCTCGAAAAGATTTCGACAACTTTCCATAAGAGAGCATACATATGATTCTTTCAACAATAGTTCTGTTCATTTTTTTCTTCCACTCCATTTAAAGTCTTTGAAACTATCTTCTTAAGTTTAATACCATATTCTCGCTAATCTTCTCAAATGAACCTATGTATTCACATCTATTGTATGCTCGAATATATTTTAACTTTCTCGCTAGGTTTTTTTCAACTCGGCATGAAAATCCTTAAAGACATCAATTAAATTAACAAAATACAAAGCATTTCCAAGAGATTTGTCGATCCACAAAGCAAACATCGGTATGAACTAAATCAAGATCACAAGATTTTCTATATGAAGGTTATCAATGACATTTCACTTTATGTTGTTTACCTCCTAAAAAGTAAGTGCAAGTGTTTCCAAAGAAAGAAGGTTCCTCTTGGTAGGGATACTAAGGCTTTTATCACTCAAGTGTCGAAGCCATTTATTCCATAAATCGGTAGAGGCATATTCAATGGCATTCACCTTACCTTTAATCACCTTAGCTCGTGACATGTAAAGACCCATCTTTTCCCTTTTAGCAATAATTAAAGAACTTTTAGAGAGGTTCCATTTATTGCCTTTAAAGAAATTGTGATAGCCTGTTTCATCAAATATACTTATAGAGATCAAGTGTAAGCACCGATTGAGCACATGCCTAGTATCTTTAAGCAACAATTTACACTTGTATTTGTTTCCGACCAAATATCTCTAATGCCTATAACACTAGCTTTTTCTTGATTTCCTATCCTATCCTAACCAAATTCTCTAATAGTATGGGATGTGAAGAAACTTCATCAAGATGTAACATGATAAGAAGTAGCTAAATCAACAATCTAGATGGTATCCTAACAAACAGAATTTGCGGAACTATCATCACAAATAATAGCAACATCACCATCATAAACAATTACAATTATACCTTTGTCTTCATTATTGTCTTTATATTTATCCCAATGATCACTCTTGTACTTTCTACAATCTCTTTAGATATGTTCAGGCTCGTTACAATAATAAAACTTTATTCCTTTTCTTGACTAAGATTTGCCTCTAGACTTCGATCTCCATCTTCTATCATCAAATTCTCTATCCCGCTTACTGCGAGAAAATCTACTCTAGCTTCTCTCCTAGTTTTCTATAACAAGTATATGAGATTTTGAAGTGCTTAAATCTTTTCTCATTTTCTCTTTATGAAGAATACTACCTTTCACTGTCTTCAAAGTAAGCTTTTTATTCGAAGTAAAGTTGCTAAGTGACACCACTAGAGTCCTCCAACTATCTATCAAAGAACTTAAGTGCCCCGAAGCATTAAAACTCATTTACGTGCCTTGAAGTATTTTCACCACCTTTGTACTTCGAGTTTACAAGGTTTCTAATCACAAACATCTTGTCTTGTACTCTCCTTAGCAAAAGTTTCATCCAACAACTTCTAAACTTTATGGTAGTCACGTTCTTAAGAAATATTGTTGATGAATTTATAAGATACTTATTTTCTCGACAACAATTCGTAGCTTTTCTATTGATCGATTTTCATTTAGTCTCCCTCATATTGGCAAGTTGTTTTCCTTTACATTCAAGTGGCAAAACCAAATCATTGTAATAAAAGTAATCCTCCATCAATATTTTTTATATAAGGTAATAGCAAGAAAAGAGAGATTTATCATACTCGAATCTTCTTTTTTCATTTACTACACAAGAAAACAACCAATCTACACAACCCAAAGCTTTGATACCACTCGTTGGAAAAATTTACATCTTTGAACCAAAGTTACAAACCACAAGTTCCAATTCTTTTCCTTCTTAATGCAATTAAAATTAGGATCCACATATCAATAATAATCAATATTGAATAAATAAAACATAACTACAAGTGACACAAAAATTTTTACATAGAAACACAATGTAAAAAAATAATAATAATAATAATCATGAGACCATAATCCACTCAAACTCTTTGATTGTATTAAATAATGGGATGCATAATTCTTCTCTAGGCTCAACTAGAAGATACACTTCAAAACATTAAAAAAAAAAAAAAACTATATTTCACTAGGTAGGTTCTTAGAAAATGCCCAAAGGTAAAAGTCAGTTCAAACAATCAACTCTATTCAAGTTGAAAAGCTCATCTCGTCGGAAACAACACATCAAATTTTTATCTTAATCGGGTTTGAAATCACCATTGGATTAAGAATTTAGACTTTAGATATTGATTATAATCGTTTTGATTTTTGCTAATGCTGACAGTAACACTAATTAATATGAATGAGCTGTGAAAATTTTTATGTAAATTGACCACATCTAGGCATTTCAGGACGACTCTTACATGCTGTGACAGGAAAATTGAACTTGCAATGTTAGAGATGGATTTTCCTTCTTCTTTTTTCCCCTTGTGGTACTTCCTTTTATCTAATTCCGTCAGTCTTCTAAAATTCAGTGCTGGATTTAATGAAGAATGAAGAAGTGCATGCTATCATAGGGCCTCAAAAGTCATCGCAAGCTAAGTTTGTAATAGAGCTCGGAGGACAGGCACAGGTTCCGATTGTTTCTTTCTCAGCTACTAGTCCCACTCTTTCGGCAACTCAAAGCAAATATTTTGTCCGGACAGCTCAGGATGATTCTTCTCAAGTGAAAGCAATAGCAGCCATTGTCCAAGCTTTTGGTTGGCGGGAAATTGTACCGATATATGAAGACTCTGAATATGGGAACGGTTTGGTTCCATATTTGTTAGATGCCTTTCAAGAGATTGACACTCGAGTGCCTTATGGAAGTAGCATTCCTTTGTATTTCAATGACACTGAAATCATGAGGGAGCTCAACAAGTTGAAGGCGATGCAGAAGAGTATATTTCTGGTGCACATGTCATCCTCCCTTGGGTCCAGGCTGTTCGTACTTGCCAAGGATGCCGGAATGATGAGCGAAGGATATGCATGGCTCGTAACAGCAGGATTATCCAGCTTGTTGGATCCTGTGGGTTCTGAAGTCAAGGATTCAATGCAAGGTGTATTGGGTGTAAGGCCACATATTCCAGTTTCAAAGAAACTTGAAAATTTTAAATCAAGATGGAGAAATAATTTCACTACAAGCAAAACACAAAGTAAGATCAGTGAATTAAACCTTTTCGGTTTGTGGGCATATGATACAGTTTGGGCAATGGCGATGGCAGTAGAAAAGGCTCGTATTGTTCACTCAAGATATCTAAAGCCAAATACTACTGAAAGCACAGTTGACATTGCTTCTTTAGGAACATCTGAAATGGGGCCAAAACTCCTAAGCTCGATATTAAGCACAAGATCTCAAGGCCTAAGTGGGGACTTCCATTTGACTGATGGAGAAATGATACCTTCAGCCTTTGAAATACTCAATGTGATCGGAAGAGCAGAGAGAGTTATCGGATATTGGACTCTAGAGAGAGGACTCATGCGAAACTTTCATACTAATGGTAAAATAGCATACTCAACTTCCAAAAACAAACTGAAGGAACCAATTTGGCCAGGAGACACAACCCAGCAGCCAAAGAAGTTGAGAATTGGGATTCCTCTGAGAAGTGGCTTTAGCGAATTTATAAAAGTAGAATGGCATCCTGAAAGTGATAAACCTACAGTTTCAGGTTTTTCTCGGGATGTTTTCCTCGCTGTCGTTGATGCACTACCATTTCCCCTTCCGTATGAGTTCATTCCCTTTGTGAACAATAGCAAGCAGAGTGCTGGGACTTACAATGAACTTCTTTACCAAATCAAACTAAAGGTTGGTTTTATGCTATCTCAGTGCATGGAAACGGAAGTTTGTAAAACGATGGCCTTATCTTGTAATTGTCTTGCAGAAATTTGATGCTGTGGTGGGAGATACAACAATAGTGGCCAATCGCTCATTATTCGTTGATTTCACATTGCCCTACTCAGAATCAGGGATCACAATGGTAGTTTTGACAAAACGTGATGAGAGGGACAACATGTGGATTTTCTTGAAGCCACTAAGCCTGGATCTATGGTTAACAACTGGAATAGCATTCATCTTCACTGGTTTAGTGGTGTGGGTGCTCGAACACCGAGTAAACAAAGTGTTCAGGGGAAAACCAGCGCAACAACTCGGCACAACTTTATGGTTCTCCTTTTCAACGCTGGTCTTTGCACATAGTAATTTCTCTAGTAACTTAATTACGTTTTCTATTTCTTGACTTTCTAACAACTTCATCGTAATATGAACACAAAATGTTTTATGGTTTCAGGGGAGAAGGTGGTCAATAACTGGACAAGATTTGTATTGATCATATGGATTTTTGTGGTACTAATCATATCACAGAGTTACACTGCTAACTTGGCCTCAATGTTGACAGTACGGTTGCTGCAACCTACATTTGATGATGTCAGAGAGATAAGAGAAAAAGGTTATTTTGTAGGACACCAGAGGAATTCTTTTGTCAAAGACTTCCTCATGAAACAATTGAACTTCAGTGACACAAAATTGAGGGAATATACCACTCCCGAAGAGTATCATGAAGCATTGTCTAATGGAACCCACAATGGTGGTGTAGCTGTTATCTTTGCTGAAATTCCCTACGTCAAACTCTTCCTAGCAAAGTACTGCTCCAAATATCAAACAGTTGGACCAACCTACAAAACCGATGGCTTTGGCTTTGTAAGTCTCTCTCATTCTCTCTCTATCTCTATCTCTTTCATTTACTATCTTGATGAAATTGGCAATGCCTAAAAATATTTCGCAAGGCGTATTTGTTTGGCCATCATTAGCTGGCTCCTTAACTTAAGCATAGATCTGTAACTGCTCCATTCTTGCAAAATTATCCTTGTATCATTTCAGTATTCATTATAATGAACAAGATTTTGTTTCCATATCAGGCCTTTCCACTTGGGTCCCCACTGGTCCCTTACATTTCAAGGGCAGTCTTGAATGTCACACAAGATAAAGATAAAATGGAAGCAATTGAACGGAGGAACTTTGGTGGGGAAACCACTTGTTTAGATCAAGCTTCCAAGAACCCTTCCGTTGGCCTTAGGTTATCTAACTTCGGAGGCCTCTTCATCATCACAGGAGTTGCTTCCATGTCTGCTCTTCTGATATATATCATGAAGTTCCTTTACTGTCATTGGCCGGATTCGAACACCACAGATCAAGATCGATCCTTTTACTTGAGAATTCTTGAATTGGCAAAGCGTTTTGGCATGGAAGATCCATCTGTTCATCATCTTAATAAAACTGAGTCAAGCGTTCTCGCTGAACCAAGTCTAGATATCGCTGGAGCTTCACCAAATAGGGACGATACACATAACCATTCAAGGACTTCCAGTGAAGCATCTGGAGACATCATTGAAGGTCAAGACCATGACAATCTTACCCCAGGTAGAAATGCTGCAAATTCAGAAGCCCCGAGCATAACGTAGGCATTACATTCACTGATTACCGATTGGAGAGATGTTCATGGGAAACTTTACATAATTAGGAACAAAAATTCTTTGGATTTAATGAAGCACCAAAATCCTCTCTTTTCAGTTAATAGGCACCAAAATTCTCTAACGATCACTATTTTAACTCAGAAACACAATCTATTAATGGCATATTGTAATCTTTTATTCATTTATTCATGCAATCCCAACTTTGGGATTGAATTAGCTATAGCTCATTTAAAGGTCTTTGCCGGTGCTAATTAACTTCAAGAGGTGTAAAAGCAATTTGGCATACTGATGGTCTAAGTTCTTATTAGCATGCTTCAGTACCATATTTCTCTTCAATTTTATTGTTTGGACAATTATTTGTGCTGCGGTTGCTTTGTTCTGTGAAGCTCAGTCTGGTTGTCCTGCTGTCAAGGCTGGCTCTGTCCTAATTCTTCAAAACTGAGCCACTTCCCTTGCTACTTACGCTTTATTCGGCTTCTGCATTAGATGATTGAATTAAATTTCCTTTGTTCACAATAAAAGCACAGAGGAAAATGGAATCACCGTAACGAGAAAGGATGGAGCTCGATACCCATGCATCTAAAAATTTCGGTATCATCCCAGTCCAAGATCAAATTAAAATTCCCTTCAACAAAACATAAAGAGCTAATATTATTATGAATTATAGCCCCAACAAATCCAAATTTCAAGTTGATAGATGATTGATGAAAAAAAATACTAATCCTCCAAAAACTATAAAGGATGAGTATTCCCGCTGAATTTGTTAGCGTTGGGGAAAAAAACTAAACATAACCTGCTGGTATGGCAAATACGTTTTCTTTTTGTACCCAACTTTTATCGCTCTATCTTTGCTTGTCCCCACTTTTTCTTCTTCTGCTGATCAACAACTTTCTTGCAGGCAGTCGTCGTAATCGTTGTTGAATGTTTAAAAGAATAATGTTCATGATTGAAGAAGATAAAGGCGTCCTTGCCAAGCCGGCTGTTGCTTCGAAGAACAAATTCTCCAAACCTCCTTAACTTTGAAAACCTTGCCAAGTTGCCTTTCTTGCATATCTGTTGATTTAATGATGCTTTGCGCCCACCAGACCACAAGCAGCACGGTCCCTCTGTTTTGCTGCACTCTTCCACGAACATTAACGTAGTTGAAGTTGATGCTTTTGCTTTAATCGTAACATCCTCGGCAAGCAGGAGATCATCTCGTTTGTATAAAGGGTAAATGGGCCTTATCTGCCCGTTTTGGAATATATCTTCTGCTGATATCAATGGTCCGGATGGATTTATGCATACGAAACTGAATTCCTCCTCCTCTTCTTTTTCTTCTTGATCTTGTAATACTGGTTGTAGATTTGTGCGTACGAAACTGAATTCCTCCTCCTCCTCTTCTTTTTCTTCTTGATCTTGTACTACTGGTTGTAGACGTGGACTCTCATCGTTTAAAAGCTGATCATTAGGGTAGTAATTGTTTTGTGGGGATCTCTCATCCTCATGAAATTCGATTACTTTCAATTTTTGGCTGAAATCTTCCCTCAATCTACCCACCATTTCTGCATATTCGGTTACGCTACAGCTAGAATTCATGTAGCGTTACTGCAGCTAGAATTGATGTAGCGTTCATTCACATCTGAACTCACCAGCATTTCTCAACAACTCCATGCAAATTCAATATATGGTTGGTACTTGATCAATAATAAAGAGATCTCGTTGGCTAATTGCTGGGCTGACCGGCCTGGATTAAACAAGTTTGCTTGTGTTGTTGTCGGCAAATCTTTATGAGCAATTGTTGAGGGCCAAATTTTTTTGCGGGAGTCCTGAAATATCGGTGGTACTCAAATTGTTTAGGAAAAGATTTAAGGAAGAAGAGATGCTGCTGTCTGTCTCTACGAATAGAGTCCTCAAATTTTTTATTTTTTTTCCCTAAAAAACACAAGTAAAATTTTTACGACGTAATTAAACGCTACGTACGCAGACCACCATCAGTGCCAGTAATGTATACTGCTGCGTGATCAGCCTCGTTGCCAATTCTCCATGCAGCTACACCAATCAAAGTTGAGAAAGAGCTCTTAATATTAACAATAACAAGAATATTAAAAGAAAACATTACTGAACATAAATCTTTTTTCAGGAGGGGCATTGTTAACCCTACCTCGAAAACTTAATTCCACTTAAATATTTATTTATTTTTTTTTAGATTCAATGGAGAGGCAAAGCTCTAAACAAAACTAGTTCTTGTTACACATCCTAGGAGTCGTGACTCCACATATGTCTTCTAAAAGAATTCTAATACAACCCGTTGGAGGCATTCGACCAATATGAAATACCTAGAGGAAGAAAATAGGTGTGATTAGCTAGCCAATCAATTGTGCGATTCGCCCCCTCTAGGTGCAAGCCACTCGAACCACCCAAGGTCTTTGAAGCATTTGCATATAGTGATCATAAGATGGTTTTTGTCCCCCGATGACCTTCAATAGAATGTAAAGATTAAACTCGCCACTATTGAGTCAGATTCCAAAAGAACTTGTCCGTATCCCAAATTTCACGCCATTTCAAAGCCAACCAAAATACCCCGAAGTTCAGCACACAAAACAAAACAAAACCCAATATGATAAGAGTAACCATGAAGCCGATTCTCGCATCTCGAAGAATTCCTCCCGCTATAGTCATACCAACCGAACTTCGCAAAGCTCCATCGGTGTTGATTTTGACCCAACTAGGTGGTGGTTTCAACCAACTTATAAAAGTCTCATGTCTCAAATATTTTGAATTCCCATGTAAAGACACCATTTTCATGCTAGCTGTAATTTGACTTGTATAAGCAAGAATCATGCCTAGAGGGTTATTAGGATATGTGAAACCTTGCTCAAAAAGGCTCTTGTCTCTCCAAGACCACAAAAACCAATAGCAAGTACCAAACTACACTCCAAGATACAGACTTCGGAGGTTGGTGTCCGATTATTCGATAGGTTTGACTAGAACCAATCCAAAAGATTTAAAGAGAAAAGGTTATGGTTTACCCGAGTAGCTCCACGAGAAATCCAAATGGACTTGGCATAATCACACTCTTTTAGAACATGAATGATCGTTTCAGAATCATCTTGACAACGAGGGCAAGAGGCATCATGTGAGAGATTCTAATGAAGCCATTATTCGTAGGTGAGAAGTTTTCCATGGGTGGCCAACCATAAGAAAGCTCCGATTCTCTATGGACCTTTCCAATGCTAAATTAAATCCCATCTTCCCGTAGTATCATTTGTAATCGAAAGATTCCATTGCTTGTGTGGTTCTACTACGGCATATCTTCCGTGTCATTGTCTAAGTAAGAAAGAATCCCCGTAATTCTTAAACGAGATGAAGGGAGGTAAGAATAGGGTGATCTTCTCCGAAATCCACTATCTAGAAATGCATATATACTCCCTAATATGCTCGCTGAATTATATCGGGAGGGATGTTGTGCGTAGCATGATACCAATGAGGAACCAAGTCCGGAACCCAAGCATCCGTCTAGAATTTTATTTAACTACTATCTCCCAAAGACCAATTAATGGCATACATCTTTCCATAATCGAGAGATACCATGCCAAAGGTTGGAAGAACCATTGCGAGAGATTGATGTCGGTAGAGATTGTGTAGAAATTTTATGTTTATGACATAGAGCTCTTGCCCACGGAGACGAGTCGTTCACAATGAGTTCTCATCCAATCTTGATTAGTAAAGCTTAATTGTTTCCTTAACCCAAGACCACCCTCTTTTTTTGGCTTGACAAGTTTCTCCTAAGCGACAAGGTGGATTTTTTAATGACCATCTCAGACTACCCCACATAAAAAAATGACAGATTTTGTCTATAGCATTTACAATGGCGAGTTGGCAATTTAATTGTCCGCATGCTATAGATGGGAATAGTCGTCAAAACTAATTGAGTCAAAGTGAGTCTTCTTGCAAGAGAAAGGTGACATGATCTGCCAGACTTGATAACCTTTTCTTTAGTTTCTCCACCATATGACTATATGTATAGATATATTAACCCTGTTGTGATGAAGAGGTACACCCAAGTATCTACCTAGATCATTGATTAAACTAAAGCTTGAATTTCAACTAAGAATCCCGGCTTTTTTCTTTTGTACATTATCACTACGTAACATTTTAGTCTTAGCCATATTCACCTTCTCGCTCGGAGATGGAGCAAAATTTTTAAAGAAGTTCTATAATCACCCTTACTTGTTTAGTGTTAGCCTCAGCATACAAAATTGAATCATCAGCAAATAATAGATGAGAAATAGGCGGACCATCCTTACTAAGATAAATTGGCTTTCAAGTCCCATTCCGAACCTTGATTTGAATCAACCGACTTAGCCTTTTCATACATAGTACAAATAGATAAGGGAATAAAGGGTGTCTCCCTATTGAATTCCCCTAGATGGATTGAAAGAGCTCATATTCATGCCATTGAAAGCAATTTGAAGGGAGGTAGATGAAAGACACTTCATAATAGTTGAACATAGATGATGAGGAATCCCCACATCCATCGGGGTATCAAACATAAAGTCCTAACGGAGTAGGTCATAAGCCTTTTCTAGATCAATTTTGATGCCTATCCAACCTTTTTTTTCCTTTTTTACCGTGCATAGACGGATCACTTCTTGAGCAATGATGATGTTGTTAGTTATTTTCCTGTTAAGCATATAGCTAACTTGAGTAGGAGAAATAACGGATGAGAGGATACGTTTCAAACGATTCACAATAAATTTTATGAGAACTTTACAAGCTACATTGCATAATTCGATAAAGGCGGAATTGAGTGATTCGTCTCTAGCACTTCCACTTTAGGAATTAGAAGTAGAAGAGCTCTTGTCAAAGCAGGGACCCAAACTTCATGCCTAGAAATTTATTGAATGAAGGCTGCAGAAAGATTTACCAATTGTTTGCTATTGTGTCTAGTAAAAAGCAATGGGAATGTTGGAAGCGTGCTAGGCTTTAATTCAAATAGAAATATATTGATGATATAGTGATTACAAAAGAAATCTCTTCTCTCTCAAAAATATTCTCTCAATATATGGGTGTTACAACACTCTCAATTTTTTCTCTTGATAGCTGCTGCTATCTAAGTTTCTACTCTCTCTTTCCTCTTATAATCTCTATACTTCTCATACATCTTTACAACAAACACAAGTTCCTATTTATAGACATGCTACACCATCATTGAGGATTAATCTAGACAACTTATACATGACTTTGACACCTTATATCTTACTGGAATTGCAGACTTTACAGCTCATGTATTTCATAAATTCCACCGACTTTGATGACCCAATTCTTGCTGGAATTTCATTGACTTTTGACGGCTTATATAGCTGCTAAAGTTTACACCTCCTTTGATCGCAACTTGCACCACTTGTATAGCTCATTTCTAGCTAATATACATCCACTTAATCTGTACCTCCTTGTACATTTTTGTGGCTATGATTTGTTGCTTCATTGCAACGGGTTTGACTTCCAACACTCCCCTCAAACCCGACTTTGCATGCCAAGCTTTCCTTTGAGTCTATGGAATACTTCAGCCTTCAAAGGCTTTATAAAAATATCTGCAAGTTGATCTTCCGTTCCGCAATGAATTAGCTCCACCACTTTGTTCTTCACTTGCTCCCGAATAAAATGATATTTTGTGTCTATATGTTTGCTTTGGCTATGTGATACTCGGATTCTTCGCAAGTGATATAGTAGATTTATTATCAATGTATATTGTAGTTGGACCTTCTTATTCATGATATAACTCGTTCAAAGTATTCTTCAACCATATTGCTTGACATGTACATGCTGCTCGCGGCTATATACTCGCTTCACATATTGAGAGAGCAATTGTTTGTTGCTTCTTTGATGACCATGAAAATATTACCGATCCAATATGAAATGCATATCCGAAAGTACTTTTTCGATCATCCAAGTCTCCACCATAATCGCTATCCGAATAACCAACTAACTTTGAATTTTGAGAAAATGTATAAAATAAACCATGATCTATTGTTCCTTTGACATATCTCAAAATTCTCTTTGCTACAATGAAGTGATCCTCGCTTTGGCTTCTCCATATATCTACGTACTAGTCCAACTCGCGTACATAATATCCGGGCGAGTGAAAGTCAAGTACCTCAAACTTCCAACCAAACTCTTGAACGATTGTCCGGTTTATAAACTCTCCGTTCGAATCTATCCTCAACTTCATACTTGCTTCTACTCGGTGTAGCTACCGGCTTGCAATCCTTCATTCTAAACTTGTTCGAATTTGTTCCGCATACTTCTTTTGTGACATAAATATTCCATCTTCCATTTGTTTTACCTCGATTCTAAGAAAGTATGACATTTCACCAATATCCGTCATTTCAAATTCTTTAGCCATAACTTTCTTAAAATCATTAAACATACCCGGATTATTTCCCGTGAAGATCATATCATCCACTTATAGGCACACAGTCATAATATCACCATCTTGATTTTTCTTCGTGTATAAGGCATGCTCATATGGACTTTTTGCAAAACCATTCTTCCGGAAATACTCATCTATTCTTGTGTTCCATGCTCGTGGAGCT